CTTTACAAACTAGTACAGATCCTTTGGAACGATTACGTGCAGCATGTTTAGCACGAGGCGCACAAGGAATCAAGGGTCTTTCAATGTAAGTATTTGACTAACATTTATCGTACAGTTGTGCTAATTTTACATAATCTTTTATAGACACATTTTTTAGTCAGGTAGGTCATATTAATACAGGCTGCTTTTTCAAGACAGTGAAACTAATTTGTTCACTTTATTTTGTACTTGACTAGTTTTTTCGATTATTTTCTTTCTTAAAGGCTCAAATTACATGATGTTAAATTGTATTGCTCTGAAGCTTACAAACTATGTCAAATCTGTTAATAGATCATGTTTTATTTCAGTTTATTCAAAATAATAGATGACGATGGAAATAAAAAACTGAGTATGGATGAGTTTAAAAAAGGTGTTAATGAATTTGGTTTACATTTGACGACAAGTGACATTGAAAATATATTCAGGATCATGGATCGAGACCAAAATGGTTTCATTGATTATGAAGAATTTTTATTGAAACTAAGAGTAACAGAGTTTATAAATTCTTTGAACATAAGGTACTAATATTTCTTTTCTAGCCTCCAATGAACTCATTTCGTAGCGCACTAGTTGCAAAAGCGTTTGCAAAATTAGATCGGTAAATATGAATTATTTCTAGTTAATTTGTTTATTCTATTTCGAGATGTGACTTTATTTAGAAATGGTGATGGACAAATAACGGTCGATGATTTAAGAGGTGTTTATACAGTAAAAAGTCATCCAAAATACATGAATGGAGAATGGTCTGAAGATCAAGTATTACGTCAATTTCTAGATTGTTTTGATTATGGAATTCATAAAGATGGAATTGTAAGCAAAAATTAATAGAAATAATTAAATTTTGAATATATTCTTTATGTTCTGCTTTAGGTAACACGAGATGAATTTCTTAATTACTACTCAGGTGTAAGCGCATCCATTGACAATGACATGTATTTCGATTTGATGATGCGTAATTCATG